TAGCCTTGGATCACAGAGCTAACTTGAATTTCACCGAAGATCGGGCCCCTTCTATATAACATTTGTCGGAGGTATTCTCATCCCGTCTGGGGTGGATTGCAGTTTCAACCTCACCTAGGTCTCCTAAACACCTCCAGCGGGACTCGAAAAATGATAGTGCAGCGTATAATCTCAATACGTTAGCCACTACGCTACATTGCCTCGAGTGCTCTTGTGTTACTGTGCCGGTGTGAATTTCAAGGAAGGTCAGGTGTTTTCCCATAGCACATTCTGTATGAGAATACCGTTTAGGTGTGAAATTTAGTGGAATCATAAGGTCTACTCATATCATTGTGGCCAGTCGTTTTATCACCATAAACGAAATAGGGTGAATGCATCCCGTATAAACGTGTATTTTGTTGTTACCATCGGCTACACTACTTATATTCAGATAAAGTAGGTTTTCGAAAAATCAGTAATTCTTGAATAAGAATTCTGTTCATAAGATCCTAGGCGGCATAAGTTGATGACTTCACCTTTCGCTATCTAATTTAACATTTACGCTCGCACAGCTTTTCAACACCTATACTCCCCAATGGTGTGGCAATTTCCTCCGATGGCATCACTTCATTGATATTACCTGACCTTTTACACACTGTGATCTGGGGCCTACCTCAGCCTCCTCGTGAGTCAGGCTCTCGTGTCGGCAGGCAAGTTGATCTCGAGGCGACTCGGCCGACCTCAAGTCCTCATCGTCCGCCGACGCCACCTGCCGCTTTTCACTCAGCCGTTTACCTCGAGGGCCCTTCAGGTTGCAGTCAATCTCTCTTACCGGTTGGCATAAGGGCTGGTCATCTGCTGCCCCATGCTCCGACGAAGCTTGACTAGTTGACGCAATATCCAGTCCACCGGCAGATTCAACTTCCTGCTCCTGCTTGTCGGACGGTTCGATGGCCTCGCTGTCGCTACTCTCCTCGGCGTAGGCGGTGCCGTCAGAGAAGTGCAAAAGCCGGTAGACACGCTGAGCCAGCACAACCTCTCCCGCGACTGTGTCAAACGAGCACGGGTCTGAATGGGCTAAAGGTGCAAATAATACCTCTTAGCCTTACTCTCTTTTTACGGGTTAATAATTTGCTTAGTTGTTTTAAACTCATTTATTCCATCGCCGAAGACTCAGCCCGCCCTTCTGGTAGCCCCACCAACTCAGATGCTGCCGGGCTGGCAAACTCGGTCTTCCCATCGGAGAAGCTGGAAATGCCATCTTTACAACCGGGTAACCAGGGTCGACAGGCTTACCAAACCAAGCACATCTTTCTTGGTCTCACTGGCATAATGGCATGATAAACTTATTCTTCTGGTGACTTTCACTCTGTATGTAAGTGCTTGACGAAGTGATTCGTAGGTTCATCTCATAGAAAGATTACGGTTGATTCTCATTGTTCTGAAATCATTTAATTTCCCCGCTTCCTTCTATTTGACGTATTCCACGAGACATCCTCCCTAGTATCAGGCAAAAACGGGTCAAACTTTCGTCCATCTCTTGACACAAGTCAGAACTGAGGCCCATTCTTGCTATATTTGCTCCTAATTAAAATATATTATTATAAGATTACAAGTAATCGCTATTATAATTATGATATAAGTTTATGGTAATATACTATGATACAATATACTAAAATAATAATAATATTGCTATTACAATAATATAATGTACTATAATTATATAATTAACCTTATATTAGCATTATTTACTATAAAATTATATATTATAAATACTTTTAATCGAAGATATGAAGAACAAAATGGTGTGGTCTTTTGTGTGGTCTCCTTTCGTTGTATAGAACTTGCTTGACCTTGTTTTCGCAACTTGGTCATGTTGGTAGGAAGACTTAGAGGAACGCACCTTGTCCTGAGTTCATTGTATGCATAATCATTTCCAAAATCTGACCGTGGACGTGGTACATTCCCAGACGTTTCGCCGGCATCGTCAGTGAGCTTTAACATTCGTAGCACCATATTACAACTCGTCAAAGAGACAAGTGAAGCCGATCCTTTGACCAAAGATGTGCTAAACAGTTATGGTATCTCCCCTTTTGCCCTAGCCTATTCACATTTTCTATATCCTCCTATCACTCCATCACCGTCACAATTTTTAACTTGCTCATTTAAATGTGTACGGTGTGCCTTTTTTTAGCGGCTATCATGAGAATGCTCCACAGTCCACGCTGGCCTTCTCGCCCCCCATTCATCCTTGTGCTGGGAATGTTGATCAGAGTCTGCCATATTGTTACGCGGTCTTCTTTCCCCGTCTCTCTCTTGCCCCGTAAGATCAATCTGCCCTCTCCCTGGTTCACATATTTCATTCGACCCCTGCCACCCAATCTGCGCCACCCGATGCGTTATTGTCCCTACCCTGCGTCTGGCTGAATAATTCGAGGCTTTTGATAATCACACTAGAGCCTTATATCATTCCTGGTCCATGAAGATTTAATGACCCAAGAAAAAGCATGACTTGGTTTGTTTAACCTCGAAAGCAGATCTGACTGTAATAATTAGCTGAAAGTAAGGGTGTAAAACCACCGGCCAGAGCTCATCCATCCTAGGTCATCAATGATTGAGAAAAGGCATGTGCAAAAGCCTTCCAGTACAGCAGATCGAGTTCATAAGCTCGGGAGAAGTATTTAACAAATGGAAATGTGGTTAGAGCCATCACCGAGCTGACCAAGATAGTGGCCCTTTTTGGTATGCTGATTGCCTATGCCTGATTGATAGGCCTAAGTTATGACTTGTTTCGTTCTCTGATTCACACGCTACCAACCATAATACAAACGACGACACACACAGACCTGGAAATATAAGAATTTGGAATAGCATAAAAAAGTACTACCATTATCATTCTATATCCATCTATCCATCTATATTTTTTCATTTTCATTTATGAGTACATAAGAAGAGTAACTGGGTTTCGATAATATAATATAATTTAAGCGTAGCTATGAAGACCAAGATGTTGTGTCCTCTATTGTGGTCAATACCTCCTTCAATTTACAGAAGTAGTCTGAACTCGATTTTGTAACTTGATCGTATTGTCAGCGGTACATAGTTGGACGCACCTTGTCCGAGGTTCTCTGCTATAGTAGTTATCATAATTCCCAGAGTCCCTTGTTTCTTTGACGAATTGTAGTTTTATGCTGAGAAGCGTAAGCTTCAATGACGATGCTAACTAAGATATTGGTGAAGCGTCTGGGAGTGTATCAAGTCCAAGTGTCAAAGCTGAAAAATATGATAACTCTTATGGCAGAGGACGTCGGACAAGGCGCTTACAAATAGGTCGCTCTGACAATGCAACGAAGTTGCGAAAACGACGTCAGACCACTTCTATAATAGTTTTGGTTAAAGTTCATTTCATTTCAAAGTACCTTATGAAGAGATTCATGGGCCGATCTCACTAAAAGACGGCACCTGATTCACGTTGTTCTGCAGTCGTTTGATTTTACTTCGAAGTTCAGGTTGACGAAGTCCACGAGGCATCCCCCTTCGTTTCGGTTAAAATTAGGCTGAGCTTTCATCCG